TCACGAGAACATTTTACATTATTTTGGAAGTGAAATACACGGCAATTCATTTTGGATAGTAGCGGAATATCACCAGAGAGGATCGCTGTTCCATCACTTAAATGTAATTTAATAGACCATCTACTAGCTTTAGCTTTTTTCTTTTAAGTTTATTCACGATTTATTTCAATCCTTCTCCTCGCCTCATTGAGTGTATACTCTTATCATTTTTTTTATACGGTAAGTAGCACGGCTTTTCAAGTTTTTTTACAGAATAATGTCTTGAAGTTGGAAGAGGCGTTAAAGATTGTAATTTCAATGCTGACAGGACTTTCGTTTCTACATGAAGAAAAAGTGTTAGACAGTGGTTTGAAGAAGCCTTGTGTAGTTCATCGGCAAGTTATTTTTGAAATGTCCTGATCACGGCTTTATTGGAGCTTTCTAATTATAATTGCTAATAGCAGTTTTGAATCATTGGAGATTTTGATTTTTGCAACTGAAAGGGAGTAACTCTCGCTTTGTAGTGATTTCAAATCTCACAATGTACTGCTGAAGAATGATTTAACTGCTGTTGTTGCTGATTTTGGTTTGGCAATGGTTTGCGAAAATGGAAAAAGCCCGTCAGAAGGGACTCGCGGACAGGTAGTTTTTTAACTTCTTGCAACTTCTGCTCACTAAACCAAAAATTTTTTTTGAGGGCTTTCGTGAATTTTTCTTTTTCTCTTAATAGTCGTTTATATATGCCAAGTCTGGTTTTTCTGTTTTATTGCAGGTAGGAACAAGACGATACATGTCTCCTGAAGTTCTTGAAGGGGCTACAGAGTTTAGCGCGTTTGCATTCAGGCAGATTGACGTATATGCAGCTGCTTTGGTTTTATGGGAAGTGATCAAACGAACGGTCTTTCATGACCGTAAGATTTCTTTTTTTCTTTCTTATAGAAATAGGTCATCTCAACAGATTTTTTTTCTTTATAGAAGATCACGCAGAACAGTATAAGCAGCCATATGAAGAAGAGGTTGGGAAGGACCCTTCAATAAATGATCTGAGAATAGCTGTAGTACGTGACAAAATCCGACCGCTTATAAGGTCAACAATATTTTATAATAAGGTAATGCTCTTCCAACTATTTCGATGGAAAGGGTAGTTTTAAAAGTACATTGAGGTTACTGAATCTTGTTATTTGCCTCGTGTAGTAATTTTTTGCCTTTTTGTAAATCAGAGTTAATGATATGGTTGCTTTAGATTGGTTGTGGTTTATGGAAAACGATAGAAGAAATGTGGAATGCAGAACCTGATGGTCGTATTACTGCTGGGTGTGCTTTGGAAAGAATTAAACGTTTGAAAGACCGCCTCAAAGATTTTACGGCGACTGGAAATCAAGCTTTCAATACTCCTTCCGCAGGTTTACTTTAGTTAATTTTTTGTCAGATTAATTTTTTTTAATATACTGGATTGTGTGAAAAATTTTGTGAATTTCAGATGAAACTGCTCTGTCTAGTATGTACAATGTTCGAGAAGAAGATCCGGCAACACCACGGAATGGAATGAATGACTTAGACTTTCGTCAGATGTACGCTCCACCAAATCAACGTTTAGAGCTGTCCTCGAATATGTTAGAAAATCTTTATCCGATTATTCGAAACGGTTATAATCAGGGCAATCTTATTCACACAGTCGGACCTGCTAAAGTGTAGCAGTCATTTCACGATT